TTCCCTCCCTGAGCTCCAGGGCGAGCCCTCCCAGGCTATGGCTGTTGTGCCCCAGCTGAGTTGGCACAAAGGGCCCCCAATGACCCCTGCCAGGTCCAGAGCTGGCTCTGCCCCAGGGCTGCCCTGATCAGTACCAGGTGCTGCACTCGTCCTGCAGGTCCTGGATCTAGGGAAGGGGAAACTGCGTCCCTCCTGCTGCCGGGGAGTCTGCCCCTAGGGCCCTGGCGGTGAGGCACTGGGGGTCACTTAGGAAAGGAGGCCCACATGGGGGGCTCTGCTCCCACTGTCGCTTCTCCCCCTGTGCCCCTCATCATCAGGTTGGTGCAGCCCCCTGCCCGTCTGATGGCACTGGGTGTGCAGGGCAGACCCCAGAGGGTTGGGGGTGACCCCCCTGTCCACCCAGCAGCGCTGACTCCTGCCCCCCATCCTGCCAGAGCCTGGAAGAGTTGGATCTCAGCCTGAACCCCCTGGGAGATGGCAGCTCCCAGGCGCTGGCCTGCCTGGTTCAGGCCTGCCCCGTCCTGACCACACTCCGACTAAAAGCCTGCGGCTTCACTGGGGCTTTCCTGCAGCACCACCGCCTCCTGCTGGCCAATGGTCTGAAAGGTACGTGTCCCCCTGAGCAGGGAAGGGCACTGGCCACGTGGCAGAGATCACTGCTAGCCTCCTTGTGCGCGATTGCAGAGGCATCTCTAGGCTAGGGACCCCTATGAGTCCCCAGAGGGACCGGGGGGAGGGTGAACAGCTCTCAGCTCGGGGGTCGAGTACGGTTCTGCTCATGGAGAGAGTCCTGATCACTGTCCAGTCCCAGCCCAGCTCTGCTGATGCCCCTCAGTCCTGCCCCATAGCTCCCCGCAATCCAGCCCTGGGCTCCCCCACCTCTGCCAACGCCCCTCAGCCCTGCCCCACAGCTCCCTGCTCTGCTGTTCTCTCCCAGTCCTGGTCTGTCTGGACCAAGTTTTGCGTTACGCAGCTGCAGACAGGGCCTCAGGTGAGCTCCCCAACTCCCTTCCCTTGCTCCCGCGGCTGCAGGCTCGCTGTTAGCTCGCTGTCTCTCCCTGGCCCAGGCGCTGTGCACCTGAAGACCCTCGTGGTGTCCCACAATGCCCTGGGCTCCACTGGCCTGGAGCTGCTGCTCAGGAGCCTGCCCTGCGCCACCCTTAGCCAGCTGGAGATCGACTCAGTGGCTGCCCGGCTGGAGGAGCCTCTCATGGATCCAGTGGTCAGGTACCTGATGCAGGTAATGGGCCCCAGGCGGGGTGCAGGGGCAGCTCGGGGGGAATCCTGCTGTAACCCTTTACTGGCTCCAGGAATTGAAGGAGTATTGCTCGTGGTAAGAACATGGCTCCGGCCACTGACCTCAGCCCCTGTGCTGCAAAGAGACAAGGTCCTTCCTCGGGAGCGTGACCATCCGGTGCTCCTGGTTCTGCTTCTCCCAGGTTCTCTGGGGAATCTCAGGCGTTCAGCGGCTCCAGGCCCTTGCTTGAAAGAAGGGTTTCGCCTCTGCCCCGTTCAGCTGGGGTGTGGCTTTGGGATCAGTTCCCCTCTGTTCCCTTCCAGGAGGGATGTGCTCTCACCCACCTGACTGTGTCCGGGAACCACCTGAGTGACGAGGCTGTCGAGGAGCTGGCCAGGTAAAGGGCAGTGCTAGAGTCTCTGGGCCTGGGGGTTTGTTGGGGGGGGGGCAGATGGTTGTGGGGTATGGGTGTGCTGCTGACTGTGAGGGGCTGTGATGTGGAGCTGAACTGGGAGCCTGAACTTCATCCTGCCGGGTCCTACCTGGAAGTGACCCCCCGGATCTCCTCCTGCCGGGCCCATCCCTTGGTGATGGGGGCCAAGAGTGGGCGGGGCTGCTGTATAGTAATGCTTTGTTCGATGTCTAGTTGGCAGCCGGTATCAAGTGGAGTGCCCCAGAGCTCGGTCCTGGGGCCGGTTGTGTTCAACATTTTCATTAATGATCTGGAGGATGGCATGGATTGCACCCTCAGCAAGTTCACAGATGACTCTAAACTGGGAGGAGAGGTAGATACGCTGGAGGGGAGGGATAGGATACAGAGGGACCTAGACAAATTAGAGGATTGGGCCAAAAGAAATCTGATGAGGTTCCACAAGGACAAGTGCAGAGTCCTGCACTTAGGACTGAAGAACCCCAGGAACTGCAGCCAGACTAGGGACCGAATGGCTCAGCAGCAGTTCTGCAGAAAAGGACCTGGGGATTACAGTGGACGAGAAGCTGGATATGAGTCAGCAGTGGGCCCTTGTTGCCAAGAAGGCTAACGGCATGTTGGGCTGCATTAGTAGGAGCGTTGCCAGCAGATCAAAGGACGTGATTATTCCCCTCTATTCGGCACTGGTGAGGCCACATCTGGAGTACTGCGTCCAGTTCTGGGCCCCCCACTACAGAAGGGATGTGGACAAATTGGAGAGTCCAGCGGAGGGCAACGAAAATGATCAGGGGACTGGAACACATGACTTATGAGGAGAGGCTGAGGGAACTGGGATTGTTTAGTCTGCAGAAGAGAAGAGTGGGGGGATTTGATAGCAGCCTTCAACTACGTGAAGGGGGGTTCCCAAGAGGATGGAGCTCGGCTGTTCTCAGTGGTGGCAGATGACAGAACAAGAAGAAATGGTCTCAAGTTGCAGTGGGGGAGGTTTAGGTTGGATATTAGGAAAAACTTTTTCACTAGGAGGGTGGTGAAGCACTGGAACGGGTTACCTAGGGAGGTGGTGGAATCTCCATCCTTAGAGGCTTTTAAGGTCAGGCTTGACCAAGCCCTGTCTGGGATGATTTAGTTGGGGTTGGTCCTGCTTTGAGCAGGGGTTTAGACTAGATGACCTCCTGAGGTCTCTTCCAACCCTGATATTCTAAGATTGTGGGTGGGAAGAGTGAGGCCGGGGGCTGTTTGACTCAATTCTTCCCTGTTGGTTCCAGGTGCCTCCTGGTGTGTCCACCTTTAGTCTCACTGGATTTGTCTGCAAACCCCGGGATCACCATTGTGGGCTTGCGGATGCTGCTATCAGCCCTGGGGGAGAGGAACCAGGGGCTCCGCTCCCTCAGCCTGGCAGGTGAGGGTGAAAAGGGCTTGGAGATCCCCAGGTCACTGGGGGGGGTCTAGTGAAGGGTCCTGCTTCCCAGTCCCTGGCCCTAAGAGAAGTGCTGGGGCAGGGGGAGAAATGCAGTCCTTGTTGGGCCTGTCATGAGACTGACCCTGGGCAGGGGGCTGCGAGCACCAGGACTGGGGTGGGGTGGAGTTAGCTCTAGAGCCAGCCTAGGTCACAAGTGCCACATCTCCCTGCCTACCTGGGGGATTCCCAGAGCGCCCAGCAGCCGGGGAGTGACCTGGCTGAGCCCTGGGGGATGGCAAAGCCACCTGCTGGTGTGGCCCAGGTACTCCTCTCTTGGTGGTGCGCAGAGGGGAGCAGGTCAGACAGACGCAGCAGCTGAGCTGGGGGGGGTCCAGGACTGGAATAGCTGGGGGCTGCAGCTGATAAAGGGCATGGGCAGAGCTCAGGAAGGGACCACGGGGATCACCTAGCCTGACATCCCTTTCCCTGGGTCCCGCATTCCCTATGCTGGCACAATGGCCTCTTCCCTTCCTGCAGGCTGCAGCGTGCGAGGCCCACTGGACAGCACCACGTGGGCCCGGGTCTCTGCCAATGTGCGCGAGTTGCGACTCTGCAGCCAGCAGCTGAGCAGGAGCGACCAGCGGGGCGTGGGCGAGTCCTGGCGTGGCCCCGCGGGCACCTCTCTGTGCGCAGTCACTCGGCACCACAAGCTGTTCTGCAAGAGCGTGTGACGGGACCTGCTGCCTACTGCTGTATAGATCCCTCAGGGCCTGCTTGACTCCTTCCTCAGCCATCCCTGGAACTGCATAGCTAGGGGGCATTCTGGAGGTCGGTCCTCCTGGGAGGCAGTGGCCATTGGCAGAGGGGGTGTCTGGCGGTAGGAGGAAGCAAGCACTGGCTGGCCTATGCCAGCAGCTGTTCTGCACTCAGCCCTGGCCCATGGGGAGAGGGTGCAGGGCCCTGGCTGCTGGCGCTTATCCTGCCATCTCCAGGTGCTTGGGGCCCTTTAGCTTTGCCCCGCCTGGCACCTCTGCAAGGTGAGAAGGGAGTGTTGGTACCATCTTATCCAAAGGAGGCAGGATGCCAGACACTGCGATCAGTAGAACTCCCTCCAGAACCATCCACACCCTGGGGATCGCTCAGCTCTGGATCGACAGCCTCTGCTGTGGCCAAAGGAGGCAGCGAGTTACCTGGCCCGCACTGCTCACAGAGCGATGGTGGGAATTCCTAGTGCACTGCTTGAGAGATCACTTACAGTCCCAGCACCCCCATACCTGGGGGTGGCTTGTGTTTTCTTGGCACAGCAACTGCCCTGGAGCAAGTTCTGAAGGTCACTGAGGCCCTGGGGCAGAAGGGTCTCCCCCTCCATTGCCCTGGGAGCCTGACTCAGAGTGGGGGGGGTATTTTATTTGTCCTATAATAATCTTTCTGTAATCCAGTCCTGCAGGGGGAGGTATTCACATCCTCCCCAGGCTGTAGGGGTTCTGGCCCCACCCTTCCAGTGGCCACTTGGGCTAGTTCAGACATTACAGGTTATTTATTGACTGTCGGGTGCTTTTCCTGGGAGCACAAGGCTTGCTGCTCGTGGCCCCAGGGGCATCAGTTAACCATGGTAAATAAAGTGCTGCATTCCACCAGCTCTGGCCTTGGCTGCTCTTCTCACAACTCTCCCCACAAGCTGTCCCACAGACGTGGTTGTGGCTCTCCCCCCTCCACAAGGCCAGCTGCTTTATCTACTGCCAGAGCAGCACCATGTGAGGCTGGCCAGGGTTCTCCCTCTCCCTGCAGACAGGAAAGGAGAACAGGAGCCAGCCCTGCCTCTGCCCAGCTTAGTGCCTGGGAGTGCTTTGGACATCTGACCTGTCTGGTCCCGAGTCAGCCGTGCACCAGCTATACCTCCTGCCCTTGAGCCCAGCACCACACCACACACGAGCTGCAGTGTGAGGGCCTTTATTAGTGCAGGTTTGTACAAGTCTCCTCCCCTGCTCGCAGGGCCGCCCCACAGCCCAGCTGCAGCAAGGGCCAGGTGGGCTCCGGCTGGAGGAAGGCTGTTCACACAGACTCCACCCCAAGGGCTAATGCTAGGACAGCTACAGCCAACACCCCTCCCAACGGTGCAGGGAAGGGAGGACAGCATGGCAAACTCCACACCACCCATGAGTGTGCCCTACAGCAGGGCAGTGGAACAGAGCCCAGCGGTCCCCGCCTGAGCGCTATACATGGGGAGGGGCTCCCAGGAGGTGGGCAGCTGGAGACACCAGTCCAGGGGGGCGCTGGTCCAGGCTCAGGAGTGCAGGAAGCGGTTGAAGGCGTTGTAGGCTGATTCCAAATCAAACAGCATCTGGCGCACTTGGGAGTCATCCAGCTCATCCGAGGCAGACATGCCACTCAGCGTCTGCAGCCTGCCAGGGAAGAGTCGGGGGAGGGTCCAGCCCTGAGACTCCTCCCACTCCAGGGCAGGAAGAAAGCTCTTAACAAGGGGACTGGGCTGCACTAGCAGGAGTGGGAGAGGGGCAGGGAATAAAACAGACTCATTCCTCTACAGCGCTGACCCAGGGGAAAGCCAGGATCAACCTGGGGCTCCTCCAGCCCCTGCCCAACCCCTAGCTGGGCAGGATGATAAACAGCCCCTAATCAGAAACATGGCAGGTTGGTGCCAAAGATCATCTTACCATGAGCCTCCACCCCGGGGTTGCCCTGACCTCCCCCAGCAAAGGGAGTGCCAAAGGCACTCTGCCAACAGGCCTGCCTGCAAAGCAGCCCTCCTCAGCCCGGTGGGTGGAACAGCCCTCTCAGTTCTGCATAAGACCCACTGGGGGGCAAGGCAGGCCCAGGCCTCTGGCATCCCCTCTGCCTGCCTGCTTGAGCAAGCAGAGATAGCAACAGAGGAGGGGCCCCCAGAGAGCCATACTCACCACTGGTTCACTTTCTGTCGCCCCTCGAAATCAGGGGGCAGGTGGCTCATGCGGTTCATTGTCTCCATCAGCTCTCGCAGGTCCGGCTGGATCTGGGGGCACAAACACATACAGCCTGAGCCTTTCCTGCCCCACACCCCAGGACTGGCTGGAATAACCCCACCCTATGGGGCAGAAAGAATCCTCCCTCCACACCTCACTCCGTGCAGGAATCTCTCCACACAGCCAAGTGCTGATCCCAGTAAGGAAGTCTCCACGCCCCCTTCCCATGGCAATTAGCATGGCACAGAGTCACAGCCCATCCGTCCAATAGGCTGTTCCCCTTCCCTCTCCTGGGCCAAGGAGGAGATGCCTTGGGAAGCCAGCTGGGGCGCAGGCTCCAGGCAGAGTTCTCAGGGACTCAGCCTGGCTGTCTGCCCCAATCTCACCTCATCCATAGCTCGGATCTCCAGGCGCAGTTTATCCATCACCGTGATGAAAAGCTGGAAGAGAGAAGAGACACCTCAGTAAAGGCCTGGCACCCCAGGGAAGTAGGGGAACGGCACCTGACAACCCCAGCCCTCCTAGGACAGCCCCCTGAGCATGGGCAGTGCGTAATGGAGGCTAAATCTCCCCAAACCTCTCACTGCCAAGGTGGAGTGGGAGGGGGACAATAGTGGTTTTGGGGCCCCTGGAAAAATCCCCCCCAGCCATGGCCCCGGGGCTGGAGGAACTCTCGCTCCCTGTCCCCACAGGGGGTGGGGAGAGGGAGAGATGGACCAGGACAGGGCTGCGGGTGGAAGGGGTGGAACAGGGGAGGGGCTCAAAGCTCTAGGTGGGCCACAGGGGTGGAGAGGCCAAGCTCTCAGCCCCCCAGTCCAGGGAGCTGAGAGCAATGAGTGGAGATGTGGCCTTGGCCATAAGAGGCAGAGCAGGGGGCTAGCTTCCCCAAGGGGAAGCTTCACCCGCCACCCATGCCCTTGAGAATCGGCCGGTCTAGACACACAGTGCTGGCCAGCCCCACGGGCAGAGTACCAGAAGCACTGGGTACAGGGATTACAACACACGCAGCCCCTCGCCATGGGCAGGAACGTACAGAGACGATGTCAGCAATGCAGCGGTTCAGGTTGCCTTTGTCATCCTTGATGGTGATTGGCCGATCCTCCTTGATCCTCTCCATGGCCAGCGGGCAATCAAGCTGCAGGAGATGGGTCAGTCACAGCAAACCCCGGGGAAGCTCGGTGCAGGGCAACAGGGATAAAAACCCCAAACAAGCAACATTTCCCTGAGAAAGCTTCCAAGCACAGGACGGGGGTTCCACGCTCATGTTCTAACCTGGGGGTGGGGGAGGAGAGTGCAGGCCTGGGCCGATAAGCTGGGGGGGGGGGTGAGGGGGTGAACTCACTGCCCCGGGGCCAGGAGCCTCTTTCTGTAACCCTGGCGAACAGCTGAGAGTAACTCACCACTGGAACAATTTTCCCCAGGTCATGGTGGATTCTCCATCACTGACAGTTTTTAAATCCAGACAGGCTGTGTTTCTAACAGCTCTGCTTTGGGAATGACCTGGGGGCAGGTCTCTGGCCTGTTTTACACAGGAGGTCAGATGGGATGGTCACACTGGTCCCTTCTGCCCTTGGAATAAACAAATCTATGTAGGATTTCTCTCCCCCCCCCCGCCCCCGGGGAGTGGAGTCTAGCCCAGTCAGCAGCGGTACATCTAAGCCCACAGCCCCCCCATTCTAAGGGTTCCCCTGAGATTCCTGTCTCAGTGCCTCTGCAAGCTGGAGTGCCGGAGAACTTAACTCACCCGGAACTTGCGGCAGAATTCATCGATGGAGCCAATCTCGGAACCCTGCACCTGTTTGAAGGCAGCTTTGTACTGGACCAGGAGCCGGGAGCAGGCTGCAGTGTACCTGGGGCAGGGAAGAGAATATGGAGTAAGAACAGCTGCTAACAGCCGAAGCTGCTGACGCCAAGCAGGAGGGGAACACCAAGGCTGAGTACATAAAATAAGCAAGCAACTTCCTTAGGGGAAGATGAGTTCACCCGCGTAACAGTCCCCAGGGCAGGGGTGGAGCCCCAAGGCCTGAGGCCCGCTCTGGATGGAACAACACTGCCTGGCCCCAGGAAGTGTGTGTGGAGGGAGGGGCGGGGGGGAGGGGTGAGGCAAGGGGACCTAATTGGCTGTTTTGATGATTTTCTGAGCCCCCTCCCCACAAGGAGGAAACGTCCCCTCCCCAGTGTGTCTGCAGGGTCTTGGGGAGCAGAAGTCACTCTGCTCCACTCAGTAATGGGAGACATCTCTGCTGAGGAATCCTGTCAGCTCGGCTCCCCGCCGCCCCACGAGAGTCCAGGCTGGAAATAAGAGCAGAGCCCGGACTCACTCGTTGGGAGAGACGCAGTCCTTGATGTAAGCTTTCTCCAGAGCCTGCATCGTCTTCACCACTGCAAACAGCTCAGCCATGTTATCGTACCTGAAACCAGAGGGCAGAAGCCTGTGAGGGCGAACAGCCCGCGGATCCCCCACTCACACCCTCTGCGATACACCCCCTCCCACGCCCCCAGGAATGGCACAAAGGCTCTAGCATTTCAGGGCCAAGGGCAACCACTTGCTTTTTCCAGAGATGACATTTCCACCTACTCCTTCTCCCTGGGATGCAGCCTGCGCTGGCCAATGGCAGAGACAAGACAAAAGGGCTCTCAGGTCTTTTCTGGCTTGGCAGGGGCAGGACATCAGAATAGAGAGCTCCCTGCACCGTCAGCTCCAGCATCTTCAGAGCAAGGACCTCACTGCAACCAGCAGCTTGAACTCCCGGTACACACACGGCAACACAGAACTGCGTACATGGGACCCAGAGGAAACCCATTCCACTCGGGATGGACTCACTTTTCTCGCTCCCGTGCATTCTTATACAGCTTCACCTCCTGCAAGGACAGCAGACACACACAGCACATCAGGCATCACAGCCTCTGAACCGAAACCCACGCGCACAGGCTGGGGGCGGGGGGACGGGGACACAGCTGACAGACATGGAACCTCCTGCATCCTCTCCAAGGGGCAGAGGAGACGGGCTCCAGAAGAACCCCTACTGGGATGGAGATTAGGGGCTGCCCGTGTCCTCAGGAGCGTGGGGTCCCTGGATGCCCCAGGATGGAGGGGCGTGCATCCATTTGCAGAGCACAAACCCAGCTTACGCTGGAAGGTCTTTCTGCCTCCTGTGCCAGAGGCGGAGCAAGGAGGGGAACACGACCGAAGCGCTACTCACCTCGTACAGTTCCGGCTTATTCCCTGGGGCTGAAAGAGAGGGAAACCCGTGAACAGCAGTAGCCCCTAGGGCTTTCCAGCGATTCCCACAATGAAACGTCTCCCTGGTCACCCTGTGTTATGAAGGCCCAGGGCGACTGCTACCCCAGAACCCTACAGCCGGCTCCAGTACAGCGAAGGCCGGCTGAGAGCGCCTGCTGGCCACCACCCATTGCTCCCAGCCAGGGAGCCAGGAGCAGCCCCCCGGGGAGACTCACAGAGATTCAGAGCTGCAAGGGACCTCGAGAGGTCACCAAATCCAGCCCCCTGCGCTGAGACAGGACCGAGACCATCCCTGACAGGGGTCTGGGCAGCCCGGTCTGAAAAACCTCCAGTGACGGGGATCCCCCAGCCTCCCCGGGGGGCCTGATCCGGAGCTGGACTCCCCCGAGAGTCAGGCACCTGCTGCTAATCGCCGACCCCAACTGCGCCTTGTGCCCCCGGCCCCGGCGCGCAGCCCCGCGGGGAGCCCGGCCGGGGCGGGCCCAGGAGCGGGGCCGGGGCCGGGGCCAGACTCACCTCCCAGGCCCGGAGCGGCGGGGATCCCGTGGAACATCCTGGCGGCGGCGGCGGCGGGACTCTGCGAGGGGCAGAGAGAGGCGTTAGCGAGGGGCGGCTCCGGCCCGAGCCCAGCCAGGCCCGACACCACGGCGAGGGGCTCAGCCCCGGCCGGGCCCCGACACACCCCGCGGGGAGGGGGGGGAGCGCCAGGCGGGGACAGCCCCGGTCCGGCACATAACGCGCAGCTGCTTCCCCCACCCCGCCGCCGGGGCCGCCCCCCACCCCGACCCACCTGCCGGGGCCGGGCTCCTTGCTGCGGGCCGCTCGCGGGCTTCCGGGAAAATGGCGTCGGAGCCCATCGGCCGCTCGACTCGCCGGGCCTAGCGGCCCATCGGGCGCTCGGGGCTCGGCCCGGCGGCCTGGGGCTCGGCGGGGGCGGGGGGGGGGGGGGGCGTGGCGCGAGGCCGGGCGTCTGTTCTTTGAGCGGGAAAGGGGCGGGTGCGCGCGGCGCTGGCGCGGGGCGGGAACGAGGCTCGAGGGCAGCCGGGGCCAGCGCTGAGGGACCCCCCCGCGCACCTGAGGCGTAGGCTGTCCGGTCGGTCCTGCTGACCGGACCCTGGCACTGGTGTGGCCGGGCGCCGCCGCGGAGGAGCGGGGGGCTCTAGAAACCGGCGTGTCCGACCGGCATTGGAAGGCCGGTTTCTAGGCGGGATGGCGGGGGGCCGGATCAGGGGCCCCTCACCTCACCTCCCTGCCAGCGGTGACGTGTCTGTCTGGGGCTCCGGCTGCTCCTAGGCGCACGGTGCCCTGCCCCCGCCTCGAGTGCCGGCTCCGCAGCTCCTATTGGCTGGCAACTGTGGCCAATGGGAGCTGTGGGGGTGGTCGCTGCAGGTGGAGGCCGTGCGCAGAGCCGCCCGCTGCCCCTCTGCCTAGGACAGAGGTGCCCAAACGTTATCAACCCGTCAGCCCCTTTCACTAAAATGTCAAGTCTCGTGGACCCCCTCCTAAAAATGAATATTTCCAGGGATTTTCTCCTTTACCTGAGTATAAATTATAAAAGCAGTGATCCTGGAAATGTAATATTTGTTTTTATGCCCTGCTTATTGCACACTATTTATTATTATTTATCATTACAGTATTTTATTACATTATGAATACGGCAACACTCTTCCAAGAGCTCACTTTCGTAGCTTGTATCGCTTTGAAGAAGCCTGTCATAAGACAAGGCCTCTCTGTTTCATCAAGGAGTATCAGATGTGAAACAACATGAAGGGATTTAAGAAGCCAACTCAGAGAGTTCCTCCTACACAAACACTCAGGTCTGGAGCAGTCCAGGCAAACGACGCACGTTACAACGAAGTTTAAACTTGTTCTTCATCATAATTTTAAAAACAATACTAGCTGCCCATTTAATTTTAAAACCAGCAAAAAATATCCACCTCCCTTTCCATTTCGTATAAGGGGTCTTGAAGTTTAAATCTCAGTGTGATAGCTATGCTTGTTTTGATCTGCTTAGCTCTTGGAAGTCCAGGGGCTCTGGGCTGCTGGCCCCGGGCTGCCCGAGATTCCTAGGGACAGCTTTGTCCATTCCCAAAGAACCCCCTGTAACATTTTGCGAACCCCAGTTTGGGAACCACTGGCCTAGCAGCAGCTGGAGCCCCACTTGTTGCTTGCAGGGAGCTGCCTGAGCTGCGCAGGCCCCAGATCTGGCTCCCAAGCCCCAACCAGCTGCCCTGAGGCCCTTCCTGCACCCAAACCCCCTCCCCGAGTCTGTGCTCCACACCCCTCCCCTGCCCCAGCCCTGCATCCCCTCCTGCACCCAAACTCCCGCCGTCTTAGTTAACCAGCATTTTTAACTTGCCAGCAACCCCCATTCCTCTAACATGCCAGATAATAAAAGCTTTGACTGTATTATTACCAATGTGATAAAATAGTGATGAATCTTACTGGATATGCCATGTAAGCTACCAGTGGAAAAGTTATGATCTACTAAGTATGATAGCATTGTTTGTATGTATGTATCAGGAGTTATAAATGCATGAGAGATCTGCATCTCAAACCAGTGCTGTTTCTGGTTGGCACCCACAGACAGATGGGCATCAGCACTATCTAGCCTGTTTGATGGCCCATCAAGGGCAAGCAGCTGTACAGTGAACCCCTTGAGGGAAGCCAGGGGCTATGTCTATGAGTCAGCAGGACATGTAGGGACATGCTTGTGGACAGGGGACTCCAAGAGCTTTTCCATGCCCATGTGCTGCAAGCTTGTGTCTGGTTGGGACAGAGGATGCAGAAAGCCCTGTGGCAGAGGATATGAAAAGGCAGCTGCATCTTCTCCATTTTGTCCTCAAGCCTGCTTCTCATGGCTGGAGTAACTTCTCTGTGGACGGAAGCATTGAACAAAGGACTGATAGATCCATCCAAGCTGTGGATGTGTTCCAGAGGGGCTTCACAAGCCAGCAAACCCACCCATGCTGCAAAGAACCTGCTATATGGACTCTGAAGTTATATGTCTCTACCTGAATGCTTTGACCATTTAACAACTCTTATCCTTCTTTTCTTCAGCATCTAAAACTACAAGTTGAGTTTTAAAGAATTGGCTGGCAGCCTGGTATGTTGGGTAAGCTCCAAGCTACAATTACAGTAGAATCTCAGGGCATGTCTTCACTAGCAACGTTAAAGTACTGCCACGTGTAGTCACAGCACCAGCGCTTGCTCCCACCTCCATGAGGGGAGTGGCTACCTGCGCTGGCAGCACCACTGTCTACGCTGCCAGGTTACAGCGCTGAAACGTGCAGCGCTCGGGGTGTGTTTTTTCACACCCCTGAGCGAGAAAGCTGCAGTGCTGTAAAGTGGCAGTGTAAACAAGACCTCAGTTATGAACACCAGAGCTACTAACTGACTGGTCAACCACGCACCTCCTTTGGACCCGGAAATACTCAATCAGGCAGCGGCAGAGGCCAAAGGAAGAAAAGCAAATACAATACTGTGTTAAATGTAAACTACTAAAAAAAAAAGGAAATTTTAAAAAAAGATGATTTGACAAGGTAAGGCAACTTTGTGTTTGTTTCATTTAAATTAAGATGATTAAAAGCAGCATTTCTCTTCTGCATAGTAAAGTTTTAAAGCTATGTTAAGTCAATGTTCAGTTGTAAACTTTTGAAAGAACCATAACATTTTGGTCAGAGTTATGAACATTTCAAAGTGGCAACGTCTGTTCCCAAGGTGTTTGTAACTGAGGTTCTACTGTAGCATTGATCTGGTAACGTGGCTGGCCCTTTGGGACTCAGAAGAATATTTTGTATAGTGAACAGAGTTTTAAATAACTTCTCACTTTACTGGACCTCTTTGTTGATTGGGAGTCAGAAACTGGAATGCACTAAATGGGGCTGTATTCTTTTTCAGCTTCTTGATAACCGGGGCGGGGGTGTCAGGAACACTGTTTGTGGCTGGTTGGTGAGTCTAACAACAGTGTTAACCACCAGTCTTTGGGAGAATCTGCTCTCCTTTTTGCAGCCTGCCCTGACTTTGGCATTTTCAGTGTGGACTATCCAAGGCACCTCAGGTCACTAGGGTCACTAACCATTGGAAAAAATGTACCACGTATAGTGAGATTCTCCATTTCTAGACATTTTTAAATCAACTTTCATAGTTTTTATGAAAGATATGCTTTGATTCAAAGAGGAATCAATTCATGGAAGTCTTATGGCCTGTTATACAGGAAGTGAGACTAGATGATCACAGTGGCTATTCCAGCCTATGCTGGTGGCAGGAGGGGGACAAACTGGCCTAGAGCAGTCCAGCCCAGCACAGGATGGGCCAAGGTGTGACCTTTCCCCCGCCCCTCTCAGCCCCTGTTCCAAACTCACCTTGGCCCCAGGAATGTTTGGCCCAATGTGTCTGAGGGAGGGTGGGCCTGGACATCAGGGCCAGGCTGATGCTGGTTAGTCTCATCCCTAGCCTTACAGATGCCATTGTATGTTTCTTCCCCCCTACCTTTTTTAAACTCATATGGCCCTCCTTTGCTGGCAACCAGCGTGTCCGTATCTTATCAGGCTCTGTGGGGATTTGCAGGGAGGGGTTAAGGGGGTTCCCTAGCTCGTAGCTTTTTGCCATATTAGGTCACAATTCCTACAGAGGACAGCTTGCTTACTTACCAGATCAGCTGTCGGGGTCACCAGTGTTCAGTTGTTGGCTGCATGTGTGTGTTCCCGGTGTATGCTGTCCCAGTGCTGCCCTGACAGCTGACACAGCAGACCTCATTCAAACTGCCCACAAAGACCACAAGACTTGGTTTGTGGCAAAGGCACCCAGCCAGACTCATTGTCAACAAACCACTTTATTAGTGCCCTATACGTGCTAAAGTACACTCAGTACACGTATGCTTTTGACAGTGGACCAGCTCCATGAATGGCCGGACTTTCCTTTTCCCCCTTGGCCAGACACACACACTGTGACCACTCTTCTATACGCTGATACAAACAAATTACATATTGCCCCTCTGATGTGGTTAGTTACCACTCTTTGCCTGTACATGTTGGTTTGATCAAAAAACATCTTTATCCATCACACTGTCAACCTGACCTTATCTTTAGGAGGGGTCAACATGTCCTTGTCATCTTTGAGGAGTGTGTTTGTACCATACTTGGTATTGGGGGTTCTGGTACCACCCTTTTGGAATGTCTTTATGTGAGTGTCCTGGGCCTTGCACTTCTTAGGAATGTGTATGTTTTTGCAATACCAGCCCTGTTCTTGCCAGGGTCCGTGAACTTGCATGCAGGCATGTTCTGTAACAGGGCCTGACTTATGCTCACAGCCTTGACTTTTGCTCACTTTGCTTTATATCAGCAAGGCTTGACCACTACTTTAGTTTAGCCCTTATACCAGGCCTCTTATATCAGGCCTCGTGTTTCAGGCTGTTGTGGGGCACGCACACCCCATACCCCTTTGGGACAGGGCGGGGTTTTGATACCACTCCCATTACGGTCTCCCTGACAGTCTTTAGGCTGAAAGTGGTATGGCCCAGAGGCTGGAGACTGTATAGCAGCCCTTGGGGTCAGGGCAGTGTGGCCCAGTGGCCAGAGTCCATGTAACAGCCCTCAGGTACAGAGTTATACTGAGGCAGCAGTTGGAGCATGCCCAGCAAGGTCTGAGGGGTGGGACTTCCGCCACCCATAATGTGGGGTTAACCTTCTCTTGTCCAGTACAGGGTATGCACACCCCATCACACAGGCTCTTTCTACTACAACACGATGTGACAAAGTGGGAATTTTCCCTTGTTATGTTATATGTGAGCCTATGGGGGTTTTACTGTTTTGTATGAATACGGCGTGTGCCTCAGCGTGGTGTCATCCATACATTCTCTAAGCACATTCTCCACTCCATTACCCAAGTTGTTAATGAACATCCTGAATAGTACTGGATCCAGGGCTGACCCCGCAGG